GTACTCATAAATCGCTCGATTTGTGACTAGCATTTTGAAGCGTGAGCAGCTTAAGCAATCGCCACATTTAAGCTTAAAACCTATTTAAAAAAGCTATAGCGCCCGAAAGTATGCAATTTCGGGGTCTATTCAATATTCCCTACTGTCTTATGCTTTTTYGATTCGAATATTACACGACATAGCGAATAAAAATAGATTAAGAATAATTGCTAGACTGTCAAATATCTTAAGGTATCGCCTCGAAATTTCGAACCTCGGATAAYGAACTCACACGAATAAGGTCAATGTTGGAGCTTTGGTTAACGGTACTTTATCTAGAACGATTAGAACTCTATCAAAATCATAAAAAAAACTATAAAGGCCCCTTTACCTTACTCATATCAATATTTGAATTATTTCGAAAACAAAAAAGTAAACTTATTCGTTCTGCTATTATYATTCTCAAAAGATAAATCTACAMAATTGCGAATTTCGATCTWAAAACGTAGTTTTTCGAAAAACTTRAAAAGAGAATTTACTCTTAATAAAAGTTTAACGGGAAGAAGTGCCTGGGATTTTGAGATATTGAAATTTCCATTTTCACTTTTCTCGTCAAGAGCTGCTGATTYGTTAGTACCGCCGATATCGGACCACTATAACATATAGCTATCATACAAAGTAATCGGTCAAAATCAAGTTTTTGTATGAAAATCTGTTTTATTTATCAAGATATCTGCACGAAATTCAGCATGGATTACTTTCCAAGGTAATGGRTACAATCTCCGAACAAATTTTTCGGTTTSAACCACTATAGTGTATAGTTGCCATATAAACGAATCGGCCAAAATCTAGTTCTTGTATGGAAAACTTTTTTATTTGATGAGATATATTTACGAAATTCGGGAAAGTTATTTGTCCAAGGCAACCCTAAAATATTCGAGAACATTTTTCGGATCGGACTACTATTGCATATAGCTGTCATAGAAACTGATCGATCAAAATCAAGAAAAATATCACTTTATACCCTTTTATGCTTTAAAAGTGAACTTGTGAAGGATATGTTAGCTTCGATGCAACCGAAGCGGATCAGTTTTCCTGTTTCTTAAACTCTTCAGCTAGTTTTCAACAAACTGTTTAATTTTAAATGAAAAACCGAATGTTACTTCAACCAAAAACAATATAAATAATATGAAATTTCCTATAAACACCGCATTTTCAAAGAGCTGATCAAGAGTTATTGTTATAATATGCTACTTTACTGATCTGCGAACCAAATTTGCGCACCGTAACCTCACTTTTACGTTGTTGTTTTTTTTACTTAGACTACCTGATTCAACATGTTGGCCATATGCTGTGCGTGCATCAGTTGTTGCGCTTGCAATTGTTGTGCTTGTATTTGGTTTTGTTGAACTGTTAGCTTTTGAATATCCTGTTGTATATCCTGTAAATTCATATTCATAATAGCCAGACTTTGCTGTATTAGAGAAGTACAACAACAACAACGACAACAAAGAGAGAGAGGTGTTAATAAATTTAAGGGTTGGTTAGTTAGCATTTCAATTGAACATAAATAAGTACATATTGAGATCAAAAAAAAAAAAAAACAAGATAAATTCAGCAATATTAAATATTAAAGACAAGCGCTACCTGATACTTATCCAAGTCGAGCGGATCAAGATCTGGCGTACGATTGGAATCGTTACTCAATGTCTCCCATTTCAACACCTCCGACGAGGCATCCAAATCCTCGCGTGCAAGCTTTAAATTTAATGCGTAAGTACGTGTAGTTAGGTGATTAACGGTTAGTAAGAGATTATATAGTATGAATATCGAACATTGCAAATGTTACCTTCTCCTGATGACGCAACAAGGCCATTTCAATGCGTCGCTTATCCTGTTCGATGCGTAAACGCTTCTCTTCGAGTTTCATGCGTATATTGGACAATTTGGAGGCGTTCTCCAGCGTGCGTAGATCATCGTCGTAGGGATCTAAGCGTGTAAAAATGTAGTTATATTATTAGTTTATCTTTCAACCAACAAGTTCAAATGTTAMGCACCAATTTTACTATTATTCCAGGCCTCCACTTTGCTGGAGCCAGAACTTTGTGTTGAGCGTCTGGTCAACGTTTGCTCATAATCATTTGTGCTGCTGTCCTTGCGTTCGGCATGCTGTTCTTCCAGATTGTCTTTGTCAATGGGATGTTGACGGCGTGTCGAGGGCATCGGACTGCTAACCGTGCTGACAATGCTGTTCAGTTGAGTATTGGAGGCATTCATGTTGACATTATCGGTGCTGGGGGGAGGAGTAAAGGGGAGAAGTTAAGCATAAAGATATGAAATAAATATGAAAAAAAAATAAGAAAACGTTAACTTCGGTTGCATCGAAGCTACCCTATACAAATAAAATCGTTTTCATACAAGAACTTGATTTTGAATGGTTAGTTTGTATGACAACTATATGATATAGTGGCCCGATCTGAACAATTTGTTAGACGATTGTTGGCGTTGTCTTAGATAATAATCCCTGCTGATTGGGAAGATACCTCGTAAAATGAAAAGGTTTTCCATACAAGAATTAATTTTGAGCGGTCCGATCGTATGACAATTATATGATATAGTCCCCCGATCTGAACAGTTTGTTAGACGATTTTTGGCGTTGTCTTAGACAACAATTCTTGCCGACTTTCGGGAAGATATCTTGTAAAATGAAAAAGTTTTCCGTACTAGAACTTCATTTTGAGCGGTCAATTTGTATGACAGCTATATGCTGTAGTGGAACGATCCGAACAATTTTTTCAGAGATTATAGCGTTGTCTTAGAAAGCAATCTATGTCAAATTTCGGGAAGTTATCTCGTCAATTGAAAAACTTTTTCATACTAGAACTTGATTTTGAACGGTCAGTTTGTATGATAGCTATATGATAAAGTGGTCCAATTTAAACAATTCGTTAGGAGAATATACCTTTGACTTAAACAATAACCCATGTCAAATTTCTTGGCGATATGTCGAAAATTGAAAAAGTTTTCCATGCAAACTCTTCATTCCGATCGTTCAGTTTGTTGGCAGCCATATGCTATAGTGGTCTAATCTGAACAATTTTTTCGRAGATTACATTAATGCTTTAGGCAATATCTCATTCCAAATTTCGTGAAGATATCATGAAAACTAAAACAGTTTTCCATACAAGAGCTTGACTTTGATCATTTAGTTCAGGGTTTAACAATAYAACGGTAAATTTTTTTATTTTTTTGCTTTGTGTAATACCTTGCATGTCGCTTCATTAAGTATTTTTCGGTCTCACGATCCTGCTTCTCCGAACCCGAATCGGTATCGTAGCCAAGTTGTAACGTGCCGCGTGCATCGGCAATGGAGGAGCGTACGGCAACAGCGGGTTCTGCGCATGTAAAATAAAATAATTTCATAAAATTCGTATTTCTATGCTCGAAAACTATTTATTTCAATTATTTTTCAGYACTCACCCACACTAACATTGGATAGCTTTCGTTCGCGTTCACGCTCACGCTCGCGCTCAAAACGTCCGACCGCATTCAACTGATCTTGAGAGCCACCGAAATTCTCAATTGTCAATTGTGAGTCTTCGCTGGATGAGTTTCTGCGTGAGCGTCGTCCTGAAATGCGTAGTAAAGTGTGTGAAAATATTACAAAGTGTTTACTGTTATTTTACACATGAATGGACATGACAAATTATGAGCTTTCAAACTAAAAAATATTAGTGCGCAACTACAATAGACCAAGATCATGCAATAAAAAAGTAAGCAAAAAATAACTGTGCGTTCTGCAGTGAGACAATACAAGAGAAAATGAGAGATCATGCATTTTATTGAGTATAAAAGTGCAAATAACGGTTCGTATAAAATATTTCAATCAAACACATGTGCAAGTAATGGTAAATGTGAAATGTAGCATAAAACTGGTGATGTCCAATAATTTCTACATACATAAGTTGCTGACTTACAAGTACGAGTACACTTATGACACCAAGAAAACGGTAAAGAGTTCCTTTCTTGAAATATTGTAAATCTTTTTTAAATTGCTACGATTTTTAAGTAATAAATTTGAGTTTCATATTTTCAA